GCCTTCCGTTTTCCTGATGGCTTTCTTTGCATTTCAAGCAGTGTGCTTCCTTCCAGCCCAATAATCTGGTTCGAATTCTTTGGCTTCTTGCAGGCGCTTGCGGTTTCAGACTATCTGAATCAATTTTCCAAGAGAAACAGGAGGCTTGTTGGCTTGTTCAAAGATATGTTTCATAATGATCGGACAACACACCTGCTCATACATTTTACTGCTTTGGTTTTTCACCTCTCTCGAAGCTTGCTGTTGAGATGATCTCGGCATAACCCGGTGAGTCGGAGCTTGCACAAGTGCTTGAACTGCAGTAGTCCTTGCGGGTAGAAAATATCTTGTGCATGAATAGGACCACATTCAAAGTGCTTCTTCCTTCAGTAAGTATGCTAGGAGCAGGAATCGTTTCTCTTCATCTCAGGGGTTCATAGCGAGTTACATCTCTAAGGGGTTAATGAAGGCTGCGAACAGTTGCCCATCCTAGTGGCCGTCATACATTTTTCTGGTCCTCCATGACTCGAGCGATGCCATCATAAACATTTCATCGGCTGATCAATCATTATTTTTCCAGCTGTGGCGGTACTTTGTTAACATCAGCTTGCAAGTCAATCTCTGTTGCCCCAATATTCCGCTTGCAGCAGTTAACTACCATCGCTGGAAGAGACACTCTATCACGGGATGCTGCAAAAGGAAAACCAAATTAGTGAATGAACAACTAGCTTAATCTAACCGAGAAAGGTTTTAGAAAACGCAACTTTCTACTATATCTACAGCCCGCGGAAGAGCAGGGAACAGCTGCACCGAACCATTCGGTGCTACCTCGGTAACTCGCCATATCAGGTATCCGTAGAAAGATTGCCAATAATAGACTCAAAACAAACGGCATAAAAAGTTATCGACAGTTACTTGACAGATATCGCCTTTACCGCTGCTCACTCCCCCTCATAGCTTCTCACATGCGGGAGAATGGCAGCTAGGGTGCGCCTTGCTGCACCCCCAAACAGTGCGAGCATTCTTGGCTCGAAATATATGGCCGCTCACCCAGTGCGTGGAGCCTTGCGTCCTCTTATGCTAAGATGACGCTTCTTCGCAGTAAATAAGATATCTGGACAGCAGAACGAATTGAGAAAAGCTCAACTTATTCGTTTTTCTACTTGACAAGTGAAGACTAAAGCGTCTAAATGTAGCTTAGCGCGCTACACAAGGTGTTCGTCTCTGTTCACGTACCAACCTTACGCGCTGAGTCAGAGGGAGGAGGGCTTATGGAAGAACGCTTAGGCTTTCTAGTAAGCTTACATCGAGCGTGGAGCTATGTGTCTCTTTAAGCACGACTTTGATGGTGTGTCTTATGTTGGGGCAGCAGTGTACAATAAGAAAGCGCAAAAACGGGTCAAAGATGTGCTTATAGAGTGTACTTAACATCTTTACACAACTAGTAGAATAAGGGAAAAACCCAGGTGTACAGTCACTTGTCACCAAAAACCGTCTGGCCTGCTGTAATTGCAGCAGCTATTCCAGGGCTTAACACAGTGCTACGGAAGACCAGTAGACAAAAACATCTCCCTCAGAAGATGATTCTGTCTTGAGCCTGACAAAGATACATGGAGGAGACAGATGCACCCAAGCATATCTTCTATACATCCAGTGCAGCTGCGCAACAAAGAATATCTCGTCGGCAGGTAGAAAATGCAATGCTTCCTCAGCTCATCGTGATGAAGGAAAGCCTGGCAGCGGAATTTAGCTGACTAAGTTTTCCTTGCACTGACATGAACAAAATAGAAGCAAAGAGAAATGAGCTTGATCCTGCGTTGCGGCAACAGCTGTAAGAAGACACCTCTGGTGCTGTATCGCGCCCCCCTTGCTGTTTCTGCCCGAAGACTTTTCGCCTTTACTCTATACCTGCGGTAGCCCCAATCATCAATTTAAATTGTCGATAGCTTTAAATTAAAGCAGTAACCCTAGAACAAAGCAGCAGAAACAAGTACATCACCTGGCTAGCAGCCCTGTGCGGTCGCGGTCGCTGCGGCAGCAGCGATTCACGATACTGAGGCTACTGTTCGTACTGCGTTTGACTCCGCCGCGCTCGTGTTTGCACCAGCAACAATGCCATTGACATTCTCCTCTTTTCGTGCCATGTGGAGGGACTGGTTGCCACATGTACGGCATTGGGATTCCACTGCTGACTCCTGCAGACACAGCAGAGGCAATAACACAGTACTAGTAACAGCAACTGTCGCTGTCTGAGAGATTCGCGGAGATTTGGTCACTTTGTCCTGCTTGTTCTCTTCAAGCTACTTGAGTAGCAGGAACAAAGTCAGCACTCAGAGAACTACCCCAGAGTAGGGCCCTCACGTGGGAGCCCTATGAACGCATGCGGCGGAAGCTAAAAAGGCGCACCAGCGGTTGTTGCAGCTGCATCTACAGCAGAAACTGCACGGATGTCCGTTAAGGGCTCCGCGGAGGCCCGGGTCTCCGCGGAGCTCTCAACCCCCACAAAGGAGGTCGATGCCTTGCAGGTACACAACACTTACGACTGCTGCTGCTGCATCTATGCCGTTTTTTTCGTGTTATTGCAACACATGCTTTAGGGATATGTATGAACTATCATATTGTTTTCATTGGGTACCCGAGTGGGCATTGTTGGCTCTTGCTGCTCCGCGATTGGTCTTGTACTGCCGGTGCAAACAATGCTGATGCTGATTGTACAGCTTGAGGTGACCCGGCTACGAGAGGAGAAGCGCTTGGCCGGGGAGATATTCGCAGAGACTATATGCAGCTATGAAGACGAGGTCAGGCAGTTGAAAGAAGCGCTGGCTACAACTCAGCAGCAGCTCAGGGCCGTAGTAGAAGCGGCGCCCCTTGCAGTTGAACGAAGACGGCAAAGAAGTCACTCACAGCCAAGGGAACAGCATGAGAGGGTAGCAGGAACAGAAGGAATAGAAGATGCAACAGCTGCATCAAGTGGCAACTCTGTGCAGGGCGACAACTCGTCTCCAAGAGACCGCTCCCTGGCTTCTAGTCACTCCATGAGTGATAGACAGACGAAGCACAATCAGACCGCTGATACAGCAGACCATGAGACGGCGCCTGTCTGCAGTAGATCCTTTAGCAGAAAATGGATCCGCACCCGTATTGGTTCTCCGCCAGAAGTATCCGAGGCCAGTGCGGTTTCCAGGGGGGGAGCTGGCTTTTTCTATAGGAAACAGACTTCAGAGGCCCTGGATGGGGTACGCTCTCCTCAGCCTTTAGCTCATCATTATGCTACCTCTTGATCGTGCTTGACGGCCCTCTCATTTGCGATCATGTTCTTCCAGTGGGCACAAGTAGCGTGTGCTTTTTTCCTGATTTTGCTGGTACTGCAGAGATCCTTGGAGCGGGAACAGTCACGAGGAATCTCAAGTCTTCCCCGGATATCGAGTCATCGGTCCTGGAAGACACTCCTCTTTAGCAAGGTGCATTAAGTTATGAAGAGGAAAAGAGGAGCCTTGCCTCCTGACCTAAGGTTGGATGTTGATAGTTCGACCTTGCGGTGTAGGTAGTAGAATTTGTTTATTGAGCTGCGTGAGTTTTCAGGAGCGCTTCACTAGCGGTAAGATGGTGCTGACCTCGGACCCTGCTCAAACCCAAGGCATTTACTCGTGGCGCTATGGGAGGGCGCGTCGTTTGGGGGGCCCAGAGGGAGGCCTCCAGGGGGCCCCCTCGTCTGCTGTTTGGGTTGACAGTATCCTGCCGGACTGGGAAACCCAGAGGGAGACGGCAGCCTTTGAGGTTATTTTACAGCTTGGAGTGCCACATGATGTTCGTGGAGAGGTGTGGAAAAGGGTGCGCCCCATGGCATGAATTTCTTGTGAAGCGCACAGAATGTTTTGGTCGTTTACATCTGTGCAAACGTATGAGTGTCCTTTTCTGTTTGACCATCTGGATACTTCATCGTAGATTTCTTGGGCTGCGTCTGTTTTCGATGTGCGAACCCTACTTTAAGCTGGGGGAGCAAGGGCAGATACCAATACATTGCTTGAAGTTGGAAGGCTACTGGGATGGCCATGGAATTTAGGGAAGCGTGGCACAGCTTTGTTGCTGATCTTTGTAGATATTTTGGATTATCTTGTGTTGTTGCAGGCAATCGGCGACCAGATGCGTCTGACCCCTAAGTTTTACGAGTTACTGGTGGCTCGTATGGACACAGCTAGGAGGCACTTACTAAGAACCAACAGCAAGTATAGAGAGAGAATTGAGTACATAGGGGGTTCCACGATGCCCGCTAGCACGCATGCTCAAGAGGCAGAATCAGGGGCTCATCAGCAACCCACAGAGGCTAGGACAGTGCAAAATAGCAAAGTGTGCAGCCTGTGCGGATCCCGTACAGATGGACCGTCTGAAACTAATTTACCCAGCAGCGGTACTGAAGGCAGTAGGAGCAGTGACAAGGCCGAAAGCAGCGATTGTATTGGGAGAGACTGTTTCATGTGGGAAGGAGAGGTTTTCACCTCTTTCCTCGCCATTTCCGCTGACCTGCACCGCACCCTTCCCCGTCTAGGGCTATTCAGCTCACGGCCCACTACGGGCTGGAGCAAGCCAAATGCAGAAGCAGCGCCAAATCCTGCTCCTGATTTATCTGATTCTTTGTCGACCCCAATGGGTTCGACACTCCGAGCTCATTCACTTGAGTTCGCAGTACCATCAGATGCAGCACGTCCGACACCTGAGGAAGCACGGGCAGATGATAAGGACAGCAGCAACAACTCCAGCTGCAATAGCTGGGGCGAGAATGCGGATGCTGTAGACTTGTGTGCTTCAGAAGGCCGTTCCTCTGCTACAGAGGATGTCCGAAGTTCATCGTTCCCGTGTTGTGAAGGCGGCCAAGGGACCCAAAGACCCCTCCAGGGCCTCAGTCCTGAGCGCAGGGCTGCTGCAGCTCCTCCTGACTCTCAAGCGGTGGCTCCGGTGCCATTTGGAATGGCCGGGGGAGAGAAGATGGAAACATTCTTGCAGACAGTATTAGAGGCCTATGTGATGCTTAGGCCTGATTTAGGTTATGTTCAAGGGATGGCTTTCATCGCCGCGACTCTTTTGTTGTACATGGATGAATATTCTGCCTTTGTCTGCTTTGCAAATCTGATGGTGAGCGTGCAGCATAAGCGGCGAACGTCAAGTAACTGAATACCCTTAAAGCGTCCTTTTCTTTTCGGCCTTCTTCCAAATTCTGTAGCCTCCAGGGTATTGACTCTCGTGCAAGTAAACTAGCCTTTTCTGCTATCTTGCAAAGCTTTCGAGTGATGGTTGTGATAATTTATGTTAGCATTCACTCTATTTTTCCAGTTGATGCTGTTTGGCTGTGTGCCCCTCAGTTGCGCCGCTCACTACATGCATTTTACACCTTCGACATGCCAGTTGTGGAGATTTACTTCCGGACTTTTGATGCCTTGCTGGAGGAGAGGCATCCCCAGTTGCTGACCCACTTTGAACAGATTGGAATTGAAACAGATGTCTTCTTAGTCGACTGGATGTACACCCTTTTCACACGGTATACCAGATGTGTGAATGCCCACAATGTCCTGTGCAGGTTGTTGACTTTGCCAACTCCACTGTTATTGCTTTCGCTGCCTAGTCCTATCGCAAGTGAGATATGCTGAGTTGCTGATACTGCATATGCATATATGTGTTGACAGATGCCTGCCATTTGAGCTGCTTGGAAGGGTTTGGGATCTGTTCGTGACGAAAGGAGATGTTGTGCTCTTCCAGGTATGCACCTCCCCTCCACAGACTCACGGCCAAGTGCGTTCACAGGCATGACAATGTAGCTTCAAGAACTAGAGAGCAGTTTTCTTCTGGGTGTAAATATGTAGTTGTTTCCACTGCGCGACTTTAGCGATTGACGGGCACTGGGTGTGGAGCCGTTTGAATGGACGGGAAGTTGCCATCAACACAGTAGTAGCAGCATGTCATCGAGTATACCTCCTATCAGTTCATATACTTAGGACTATTTTGATAGTCTTTGGGCCATTTTTAGCTCTACATACTTGGAGGCATAAGGTTTGTTGCTTCGCATGCTCAGACATCCTTAGCAATCGTTTCGTACTTTCATCAAGAACTGCAAGAGGGTTCATTAGATGAATGCATGGCCATTCTGTCACCATCAACTACAACGAGATTCCAGGCAATTCAGGCGAGCAGGGGGACCTTGGTCCCCGTAGCTGCCATCAGGGCCCAGTAGCAACCCACGGCTGGCGGCAAAAGGCACATGCTTCGCTTAGTCCTTTCGCGTAATTTTGCGCAGTGGCAGACATTCATGTGTATTAAAGTGCCTCTATAGTCTTATCAGTTTATAGTTGTGCTATGTTGGGTTTACAGACGGACAAGTTCATAGAGTTGCTATTTGCCATCAGAATTCTCCCGCAGAGGTTGGAGGCCCTGATGTGCCAGGTGCAGAAAACCCTAAATGAGCGCAGGAAGAAAGTGCAGTGTATAGTGGGGGCTCCCACACGTTTACTTCTGCGGCACCTGACTAGCGAGGCCCCACCCTCCCGCACTGCCAAGGGAACAGTCTCTGCAGCAGCGGCCGGAGATGACGCAGTGAAGGTATTACCCCCAGAAGAAACGGAGCGACAGTCGCAAAGAGGAGACACGGATGTTGCCTCTGCTCGATTCCATAGACGGTCCTTCACCTGGACAGTACAGGGGGCTTCTTGCGAGTAGCTACACGGCCTCGTCCTCGAAGCCCACCGCAGGTTGCTTTGAAGAGATTGTCTTTTAGGTCATGGCGCAGCTTCAACAGCCCAAATCGGCGCCTAAACATAGGGTCCTTTGTCTCCTGTTAAAAGGTAACTTAGAAAACCACTGCCAGGGTAGCGTAGCTACCTTAGCAGCGTCTAGAAAGGGGCTTGGCTAAGCCACGCCTCCTTGAATAATTCGGAAAAGCTGAGGGCCACCGGAAGAGGTGGACAGGGTGGGACCAAAAGAAAATAATTTGGCCTAGCTAGTTCATTTGTCGAACAGCAGCGGTAACTTCTTGTGTTTCGCGTGCTCGGTACTGGCATTGTAATTCATTCCCAGCACACTGGAGATCCACCCTTGGTGCTGTTCTTTCTTGCCTGCCTCTGGCTGCCGCTTGATATCAGCAAGCACCTTGGATCTAGCGGCCTCCACCCCTTGTTCCTGCTGTTTCTGATGTCCTTCGCCCCCCTCTACGGGAAGGAGCTTACTCCCTGAGAGCCGTTGATTCCAGGCTTCTATCTCAGCTTTATCCATAGCCACCTCTCTCTTAGACGGCAAGAACAAAATCCGCTCGTTGATGGGTTTGTTTCTCTCCTCAAAGTAAATCCAGACGAGGGCCCCCCCCAACCCAGCCACCCAAACACCAACACGAAACGCTGGAGACCCACGCCTGAAGAGGTCCCTCTTTGCGTCTTCCAGCCATTTCATTTTTGATTTGGCAGCTGAGCCGAAGTATCATCCCGTTTTGAACACTGGTGCATGTGTGCATTCAATAGATCCACACTTCAACTTTATTCCTCCCTGCATAGTGCGTGGTTAGTGGGCACGGTGAAACGGAAAATGAAGTTTGTTGCTTCGAAGACTCGGTAGATGTCTCCCTCCACAGAGGAATACTGCTCACGTTGTCTGCTGTTGGTATATGTCTTCCCTTTGCCACGAAAGAGGAGCTCTCTACCGCCAGGAAAAAGTGCGCATGGTCACGGTGAGTCTCCAGAAAAGAAAGGCCTCCCCTAGCCAGCCTCCATGGTCTGGTAAGAGCCTGAAGCAGTACAAATAGTCGAAATCCGAAAAATTATCGCCACTTCTGCGGCAAGCAGCTAAGAGGGCCACGTACAAGTGGGGGCCCCGGGGCCCTGTCAGAAACGGAGTGTGCAGCCACCTGTGTTCCCGATGGAAGAAGGAACCCTCAAAAAGGACAAAAGGAACAACAAATTCTATAGCTTGCTTAGATCTTTTGTGTAAATTACAAGCCTTTGATCATTGCAGCGTCCCTAAAGGGGCCTGCGATCCTGGAGTGGGTAATCACCCAAGGCACCATGTGGTGATGCAGAGGGAAATAAATCATCGTACTCCTGATCGCACATTGTGCGGGCGGTTGAGACGAGTAACTAGGCGCAGTGAAAAGGTTGCGAGGCCTGAGTGAATTCCATAAGCTTGTTTCTGCCATCCCAGTGTGTTGTGTTTAGTACAGAGTTGTGATCGTCATAGAGTCTAAGGTTCCTTACTACGAATCTAATGAGGCAACTGCATTGCATGCAGTGGAGTGAGAGACTGCAGTAACCTAGACATCCCTCTAGTAGTTCACTGTTGTTTGGTATTGTAGCCCAGTGGTTTAGTGGCTTCTAATGCGTATGGAGCAATTCTTGGAGCCCATTTCCCTGAGTTTCCAAAAACTGATCTTGCATTGTCTACCTGGCAGTGCTTTGTCGTAGTGCACTGTGAATATGGCAGTTGGCGCTTGCCCGTAGCATATCAGAGGCACTTTACATGGGGAATCGTTATCGAGACACTTAACTCCAGACTCAATACAAACTAGACCAAATGATATCACCAGTTTTCAAAGACACCTGCCTCCATTGCAGCGCGTTACTCAGATTTCCAACATCTGGGGAGGGGAAAAGCTAGGATACGCGTAGACCACCCTCAAGCAAACAGAGCATTCACAGCCAGCAGCGCATGGCACCTGGCGCACAGCATTGAGTTTTATTTTGTCAATCCGACAGTACTCTACAATGAAGCTGATGTACAGGAGGGCAATCTAGCTATTCAATCCTCTAACATCATTAATCTAATAGCACAAGCGTACCAGAACGTGATAATATTGGACAGTCTGCTTACAGTACGGCAGCAAGCAACGACGAAAAAGCAAGAGAGCCAGGCCTTTATGCCAAAAGTAATTTTCTCTTGTTCCGCGAAAAGATGTCTCTGAGTACCATCTCGAAAAAGAGCGGGGCGAGCACACCTCAGCTACGATGATGTGAATTCTCCCGTTCCATAGTTTCTATTTTCAGGTGTTTGCGGTACTAGAGAGCGCATGATCTGGCATTGTAGTCCCACAATCCCACGGCACATCTGTTCAAGCAGTGCAGTGTTTCACGACTTTTTGAATGCCTCCCTGGACTCGTTGAAGGAACAGTACGTAGTTGCTGTTGTGGACGGCCGCAGAGTATAAAGGACCATCCAAGGCGTACTCAGGCAGACAATTAGTTCCAGACCCGGTACAACTTACTAGGAAGATCTTGAAAATCTTCCTGATCGTACCGCGCCTCCGCCTGGCCGCGCCCCTCGCAGTTCCTACATGGGAGGAGAGGAAAGAGCTAGGGTGTGCGTAGTTTTACTCTCCAAGAACTCAGCCAGGTGCACCTGGAGCCTAGCGCAGAGATGTACAAGTGGGTCAACTTTATCGAGCTTGAAGAGGTCTGCAATAGTTGAAAATATACGAACAGATAGATCAACTAGTCAATTATCTTCTTATTATTAGATAATGGAACAAGGCAGAAACTTTTAACTAAGTGGATTCCTGCGCATTACCTTTTTCCCAAGAAAAAAACACACCCACAGGTTACGTACACGTACACCGATGCTGACTGCGTGCATAGCAGCGAAAGACTTCCTGAATTCGAACCAATCCTAATGCAAGCACAAACGCAAAAAAGCAGTAGAAAACAAGCAACGTAAAGCGAGCGTCAATCGCTTTAAAAATTCCGAAGAACTCCAGAGATAGCGCACACACACACACACACACACACACACACACACACACACACACACACTAGCCAAGAACGAATGAGGAGCCTAACAACAGGACCTCCGCGGCGCGACGGCTCGCTGGCATCGCAGCGCTGAATTCCATGAGCCTCCTGCCACAAAAAACATAAGGCAAGTAAAATGTCTTAGGGATCAACATAAGCAGCCAGCTCAGCAGTGACACTGGACGTCATAGAGCAATGCCCGCCTTTAAGTATAGCCAGTGCAGGAAGCCCAGTCGATGCCACAGCCCCAATAATGCATGCGAAAGAATGCCTGCACATACACTCAAGTCTTCATAAGATCCTGGCAATACCAATCGGGAGTTTTCCAAGCAATTCCTGCAAATAAAGATAGCTAGTCAGGCAGAGCATGCACTGGCGAAGGACGATTGCCAAGGAACGCGAGGAATACTGTCCATAACCACAAGAGCTCTTAAAAATACAGATCTGCAAATCCTTCAGTACCAATAAAGCCTGCAAGTGCTCCTGCGTCAACCACCATTTAGGCTGGCGTCCCTCGCCCCATCTCA